CAGATTTGGATACTAGATATTCTATTTCCAGTATCTAAGCAAGGCAAAATTTTACCTTGCAACCAGGCCTTTAGTTTCAATAATAAAAATATGTGTTGAAATTCGAAAAAATTGAAAATAACACACTGCGGCGATACGAAAGAAAGCACCATTTGTGATTTTTTTTTTAAATATTCTGCCAAAATCCGTAGACATTGAAGTTCGGAAACATGCCAAACGTCTAGATGATTATCTACTGTCGCAATTTCTAAGTTTTCCTAGTATCCAGTTGGGATACTGGCGCATTTTCCCTTGCAAGCATAATACAAATTAATACAAAATTTGCAAATTTCACAGGGGTATATCTTCCAAACTTTGCAATATTACTAATTTTAAGATTCTCTATCTAGCTTAGATTTCGTTCTTTTTAATTTGCCTACATCGGAATTTCGTATATAGCTGGAATCATCTATTACCAGGAGGGGGAGGAGCTATTCAGACCGCCTTCATAAAATATTAGGCCACATCTCCCTGCTTCCTACGTACGCACACGAAAAAGCTGTCTTGTTCTTTAAAAAAATATTTAGGCTGGTTGCTATGTGGCCTTACAAGTACAAATATTATGATTAGAATTATTATTTACACAGGCATTAGTGAGGGAATATCAAATTAACCAAAATTGGCACATATTTAACATACCTCATTCTCATCATCCATTGGTTTCACTAATTGTTTAATTTACAATGCTACCTAGTAGTTAGTACCTAAATATCAAGTCTTCTGATGATGTCCAATGCTTTGATATAATCATTGATGCCATGATTTTCCCCTGACCAGATTTCATTATTAATTTAAGTTCATCCAGACATGTATCTGGTAGTCCAGGTAACAAAGGAAGAAATACAGGCCGATCTCCATGTAACTATTCCTCATTACCATCATCAGGATCATCGTCAAGGTCATCATCACGATCTTGGATTCGAGTTGGGGTGCAGTCCAGACCCACAGGATTGTTGATTTTGCCAGTCAACCATAGCTGTGCGGGTGTCGCCCTTGTTTTGCGCATTCGGTGGTAAGCCCATGCTGATTGCCAAAGGTTTAACTTCTGGTTAACAAGAGGTAGGAAAACAAAGTGAAGAGCCATCAGGTGTGACTCATTTAGGATGTCAAGAATATTTTCTTCCTCCATAAAATAGAAAAGTTGGTAGAAAAAACTCAAGACACCCTCGTAAACATCTCTCCATAACCGCTCAATTCTCTGATTGTGGGTACTCTTTCCAGCAATCACACTTCCACGGTTTGTGCCTCGGTTCTGAATCATAAATTCAGCTATACCCACATTTTCCAAACCCTTGTCAGTGCGAACTCGGCTTGGTAGGCCAAACTCGTCGACAGCATCAACAAAACACGACAAAACTGTGTCTGCCTTGTTATTGTCAGCGCATTTTAACATGACTGGCAATCGACTGAAGCCATCAATGCCCCCTATGATAACAAGGTTCCACCGGATTAGTTTATGGTTAGTGTCTACATGCCATAGTTGGTTTGGTCCTTGGACAATATAAACCCTCCTTGACAACCTCCCTCTCTTTCTTTGAGCAATGCCTTCGCTGTCAACTCTGTGCAGGCTTTCACGTAATCGCCAACGTTGAACCTTTATCTTTCTACCGATCAGGACCTGCTTTAATAAACCCTCACCAGAGTGAGGAAATTCCTTTGTTACGTCGCTAAGAACTTGATCTAATTCGTCATCGGTAATATTCGAAAATTCCATCTTACTTAGGCCGTACTGCCTCATTCGACGATAAATTGTACTCTTTGAAACCGACAGAATTTTGGAAATTTCCTCTATTGTCAGATTTTGTTCAAGATAACACTCCAAAACAGACCGTGGGATTTCAAACATAGGAGCGCCACATTCGTTTCGTGTACTTCTGGATGGTTTATTCTATCCATATTTAGAACATTCTATCCGTAATTCCATGATATCACCTCGATTTTGCACTCCCAATTCCTTAAATTCATTTAAGGAAAGTTTTCCAACTAAATCTGGCGTTATTTTCTCAATTTTGAACCTTTCTATTGAATAATCCAGCTTTAGCTTTCGTAAAATCGACTCTATTTCAGTGAACTGCTCTATTTCGAACGCCATTTTGAAACACGCGAGTGGACTGATATACCTAACTAAATAAATATTAACCGCTGTCCAAACATACTGGCTCACTGCCACATAATGATGCAAATGAATAAAATGACGAAAGCTCCGCGTATAATGCTCGAACCACCGCGTATAATGGTGAAAGCACCGCGTATAATGCTCGAACCACCACGTATAATGGTGAAAGCACCGCGTATAATGTTGAAAGCACCGCGTATAATGGTGAAAGCACCCGCGCGTATAATGACGAAAGCACCGCATATAATGATGAAAGCACCGCGTATAATGCTTGAACCACCGCGTATAATGTTGAAAGCACCGGGTATAATGACGAAAGCACCGCGTATAATGACGAAAGCACCGCGTATAATGCTCGAACCACCGCGTATAATGGTGAAAGCACCGCGGATAACGGCGAAAGCACCGCGTATAATGGCGAAAGCACCGCGTATAATGGCGAAAGCACCGCGTATAATGCTAAAAGCACCCAACAAAATGCCGCTTGATCACTTAAGACAGCTATGGCTTTCCATAAAGCAGGGTATTTTGTTGATGAAGTGGACATTGTACTTGTAAGTGACAAACATATATGTCATATATGGGATTATATTGTATATATAAAATTATCGTCCTAACACCAGCTAACACATGTTGACCCTGCCGGGCCTAGACCTGCGTTTTCATAACTGCCTTGTGAGAGCAATGTCGCGCAATATAGCTATAGTATGTTGATAAACTAAATGCGGGTAACGAAAAGCCGAACAGTTCATGGGATGTACTCGAATTGCGCACGTAATATGGCTCCAAAAACGTTCTACCATGGACGAACATTGGTAGGTTTATGCTGTTCGTGGCAACTTCAGTGTATAACATAACGCGCTTAAGTATAATGACAATATGAAACGCACTCACCGGTTTAAAAGTGGATCAAATGTGGATAGAAAACAGCCTTTTTCCAGGTTCTGAACGTCGGGACTTGGAAGCTTCGATTTATCCGAGAAAATGTACCACGGGCATTTTCGTGTACGGAAAATTTTCCTTCTATGTTGTCTCGAAGACCGTTGAAACCAGAGTGAACTGAGATAAAATTTGGCTAGCTTTTGCTGATAACTGAAGAATGTCGGCTTAGCAAAATGGGATTATATTGACAATTTGGCATTGACACATGGCAGGTGTTGCCCGGAGAGCAAGGCGGTTGTTTTCTTTGCTTATCGTTTCAATATTTTTTTCCCAGAGACGCTAATTAATCATAATCTGTCAAACACCAATGTCCGGTTGTGAGGAACATATTCGTTCTCAAAATAACTACTTGACTGCGTATCTGTGTATCCAATAGAATAGAGAGCTACATTTAACAATATGACAATTTAATCTATTAATGCTAAGTCACTATACTGATGCCTCGTTGCTACCTTTACCGGGCCACCATCTATTTATTATTAATCTATTGAGAATAAATGTAGATGTATTAATACATCGTATCCATGATGTTTGAAAGGCATAGCTTAAAAAGTGGATGGGTATTCAGCAATGCCAATCGCTCCTGTCGGATGTCATCACCACACAAGGTATGAAGCCACAATGTGTCCTGCTCAGATTTTGACATCTCAACCAAGCAATACTGATTTTGAAATCACCAATTGCGAGCGACGAATGATGCGTCCGACTATCAATTTGCGGCGGCGCCAGGCCTCCGAATTTGGGGGGGGGGCATTTGAGGGGCAAACTCATATTTTGGGGGGCAAGATAGAATTTTTAAAAATGTCGCCCCCCAGGAGATTCCCCCCCCCCTCAAAAGGGGGCGATATTCATAGGAATATCGCCCCCGGGGGAGAATATCCTAGGAATATCGCCTCGCAGGAGGGAGGGCCGAATACCCTAGGAATATCGCCCCTCTTTAGGATATTCGCCCCCCCCCCCATATATGCGATGTGGTTTATTCAAATAATTTCGTGATAATTTCATCTTATTAGTGCCTTACACGTTTGAGAATTTAACTCTGCAAAACTAAAGCTTTTTTGTCTTTTTTGAAACGTATTATTGGAATATTTTACCATTCAGAGATTTATAAGCTAATATTGAAACTGTAAAAAACAGTTTCATGTATACGCGCATTCACTAACGAGTAATGACAATTTATAAGCCATACATTTTCCGACAACGACAAAACGCTTGTGTAGCCTTTAGTCACTCTTAGTGACTAATAATAATTTTTTTTGCCCCCCTCCCTTGCCCCCCTCCCCCTGGCGCCGCCACTGCGAATAATGTCGTCAATGTCGAGTTGAGTTCTGTCAGGAAGTATCGGATCGTTTTCTAATTTCGTTTTAATATATTTGCATGCTTTGTCAACAGGAATGGCTGTAAAGAGTGAAACGACGTCAAAAGAATTCATAGATTCGTTTCGTCTATGGTAATCAGGGGCGTAGCGTGCGGGGGGGGGGGGGTGTGTGGGGGTGTGACACCCCCCAGTTTTAGTGAGGTAGTCGGTAAAAGGCGAAGTTATTCGGTAATGGCAAGAGCCATGACAGCGGTCGGTAAAACTGATTAGTTTTGCTCCTCGGTAAATGGCTTTTAATAATAAAAAAAATTAAATTAATGTTGTGCCTTGTTCTCCAATAAAGTTATGCAAAATGTACGTAATTCTTCAGTATTAAAACACTTATATTAAATACCTACGCATAAGCATTGGAGCCCCTAATTTCCTATCGTATTACACTTGCAAGAGCTGCGAAAACAGTTTGTTCTGATTGGACATGTTCAACTGTGCGCGAACTTTTGACCTTGATACAATGATACGCAAAAGAATTAAAGATTATATTTATATATTTGTTATTGACACGCGGTGCTCATAAAATGTTTCGCCAATTTTTCAAGTCTGTTCATTACAATAAACAACAAGATAAATGCCATTGGGTAAAATGACTTATCGCGAAGTAACAAAGACAACAATTATTCCAATTAAGGCCAAATAAAAAAAAATACTTGGTTAGCGTCACCGCCCGCCTCTCGATTTTCTGCCGCCTCTGAATTTTTTTTAATTTTTTTTAGGCCACATAAAAAAAATTACTTGTTTAGCGTCCACCCATTTTAATTTTCCTAGGTTGGGCGGGCGGATTTTTTTTTTTTTTTTCGTAAAATGCAACACAAAATTCTGCTAAATGCAGGAAATCCAGTATATTACCACAGTCAAAACTCACTTTAATTCTTTCAAAATTCGTTCATGTTTTTTGATACCGTTCATGTTTTTAATAAAACAGAAATGATTACCGTTTGGCGGTCACGCGCGAACACTTTAGCTGCGAGGAAGGAGTAAACGTATTACATAGCTCCCAGAAGAATAAAATCACCATTTTTTCAAGTAAAACGGTCTTTTTTATAGAGAGTTTTTGCACTAAACTCGGACGGATTTAAAAAAAAAAATAAATAAAATTGGAGGTCGGGGACTTTTATCAGGTCGGGCGGGGACGCTAAACAAGTAATTTTTTTTATGTGGCCTTATATATGTAAATCTCTTCGTTTTACACCTTAAAACAGTTTAATATTTAAATTTTTTCTCATGCTCAGACCTTCGCGCTATATACTGATCGATAGGAGCGCGACCGAGTGCGTAGGCTTGGGTATACAAGGTTAAAGCAAAATGGCGGCCTTCACAACATCAGTACAAAAAATATCACCGATATGGTGGAAAAACCGACCCTCATCCCCTCCAAAAATACTAATAAAAAATTAAAAAATAGGTACGCAGCGCGTACATGTTGCATGCCAATAAAACCACTGAATAAAACCTTATAACTAATGTACAAAACCATTTGGGGGGGGTGCACAGGCTTACGTGGGGGGTGCACACCCCTCCATCGGTCTATGTTATAAGCAAATATTTGCTTAAATCTAGGCTTGCAGAGATTTTCTAACACGAGACATCTATAGAAAACTTACTTCATTAGTAAACTAATGCAACGATAGGTAACGTTTAATTTGATAATAATAATCAACACAGATAGTACAATACTAAATAGGATGTATATTGGACGATGGCTACTGTATATACAAAATTGAAATTAGAGTATGGGTTGCAGTCATAAGTTATAAGTCTTATAGTCAGTGATTTAATTACAACCCATTCCACAATTTCCAAAGCTTTCCAAAAATGGTCAATGACAACGTGAATAAATAACGAACATTCAGCTAGTGAAAACTAAAAGATGAGTCACTTTTCTATGACAATAGAACACGTGTTATTGCATTTTACAGTACATGTTCTACCCAGATTAAGTTTGAAGATGTTGATTATGATGCATATCAAGTCCATTGTTGGTATAACAGGTAACAACATTGTTGGTTCGATTATGAGTATTCGAACAGGTGCAATGTACCGTACAACAAACTGTGCATCTTTCTTAATTATCAAGTCTTCCTTGTCGCGTTAGCTTTTCTTTGTACTGTACGTGCGACTTTGTTGAGTAGCCTTTCGCTTTAACATGTTTTGGTATCAGAGCCAGGTGCAATGTACACTGTGCCGTACTACAAATATCCAAGTTGTATCTTCAAGTACTGTGCATCTTTCTTAATTTTCAAGTTTTCCACATTGAATTTTCAGAATACATAACGACGCAACTGTAGACGTGTGAACTTTGGTAGCTGAACTGAATTGTTTCACTTTCGAATATTCATTGACACAAGATGATATATCATTCAATATAATTTATCCACCAACGTTGTCAGGTAGCAAATGAAAGGCATATTATTGTACACGTCTGATATCTGTAAATATTAATGCAACAGTATTAGTGAATGCAATTATGTATAATGTAACATGAATTTCATAAGCCATACAGTCCGAGCTTTGTTCGTGACATGACTAGATAGTAATAAGACGTAGCAACATACCAAAATTGTTCTATTTTGCACTTTTGTTGACTGAAGTTATCGTTAATGTGACCATGTTAATGTATAGAGATATCTAAAAAAGAAAAAAAACAACAATTAAACAGATAAACACAGGGAAGGGAGAGGGGGAAAGAGAAAAAGAAAACTTACCTAAATGTAGCCATCGTCCACACAAGGAGACTTATTTTTATAACATTGGCAGTGGCACAGCGGCTTGTCTTAATAACATTGGCAGTGGGCAGTGGTTTGTCTTAATAACACTGGGAGTGCACAATGGCTTGCCTTAATAACCTTCGCAGTGGCACAATGGCTTGCTATCTTTGCGATACCTTAATTGAACGGTATATAATTATTATTTCTATGTCCTAAGAGAAGCCCATATTGCTTTATGATCACTAAAGTAAGTTTCTAGAATACCAGCTTCAATTTCCTCTTCAATTAAATTTGTGTATAAATGATCAATTAACGTTCTGTTGTCGGTTGTAAAGCCTGTTATCAGTTGCCTGTACGTAATGATTTTGTACAACCATCAAATTGTAGAGTGACTGTCGATCAGATTCTACCATCCAGTTGACATTGAAATCTCCAATTATAATGTTTTGTGCAGAAGAATCTTCATCAAGTACGCTACGTAGTGAAGACAGTAGACGTGATATAGCAATATTGGGTGAGCGATATACTGCAATTATATTCAGATGCGGATTACTTTCTGTTTTAATAATTGTAAACTCGATTCCATTGACGTTGTGAGCATAAGGGTATCCTTCTTTTAAAGGGACTAGGCTATAAACAGCTGTTCCACCGTATGGACGTCCTGGACCCGTACCTTGGGAAACATCATTTCTGAACAACATGTAGCCATCAATGTTGTATATATCGTCAGTGTCTGAGGAGTTAAATCTTGTTTCAGTAAATATCATAATATCCATAGACGAGTAATTAATGTCTCTTCGAACATCTTCAATGTGTTTATGCAGAGATCTTGCATTGAGGTAACAAACTTTCAAATCAGATTGATCCAACATATAAAGTGGTTTGAAACAAAGATTCAAACTTTGTTCGGTTCTTAAGATTTCCATTTCCTTGACAACTCTTTGATCAACAGATATCTTGTCTTCACATAGGTCAGTTATGTATAATCCTTCTATTGTTGTAACTCGACTTAAAGCAACATAATGAATGTGAGGAAAAGCTCTGTTGCTGTTTAGGTTTACAACAATCTGTGTTTGAGTATCACCTTGTGATCTATGAACAGTTTTTGCTGATGCTGGTCGCAATGGGAACTGTTTTCTAACAACTTGAGCAGATTTCGTTCTACCGACTGGAAATTG